TCGCTGGTCTCATTTAGTGTTGTATTTGCTGTTTAAATTTAAATGAAGGTGAAGGGTAAATCTCAGACCCCCTGTACACAACCACCTGCTCCTGTTCACCTTTCCCGTCGGAGGCTTAAACACTCGCGTGACTCACATTTTACATGCTTTATTATCCCAGACACACACACACGCACACACAAACAGGCGTACACATCTTTGTGGGGACTCTCCATAGGTGTAATGGTTTTTATACTGTACAAACTGTATATTCTATCCCCTTACCCTGCCCCTATCCCTAAACCTTTAACCTCTTAGAAGGCCTGCAAAATTTGCCCGAAACGCCTAAAAAAGACCTATCCAAATTAAATTGCATGCTGTTCTTGAACCATTTGGAGTATATGCATGCTTTTGCTCTCTTTTGAAAGGTGACACTCAGAGGTTTGTTCCTAAACAGTCAAAATCACTGTAAGTCTTACTGGTCTTGAGTAATATAACTTTGAACACAATGAAAAATGACAAAAAAATTCCGCCTACATTTTTTTGTGTAAACAGATGCCTGCAGATAACTACAGCTGGGAGCTATGAGCTAGAAAACACAACTGGATCACAGCATGAAGCCTTACCAAACAGAGTTTAAAATTTGATGATGATATCTAAGAAAATGAGTGTTTTACACATGTTTATCTAAGTGTATATCTAGGCGCTTCCCAAAAAAAGCCACTTGGAGACTCCAAATGACCCTTTGTGATCATAGACACATAAAATGCTGCTATTCTTGAATACTTTACTCTACAGTCATAATTTTGGGCTCTAATGAAAGGTTACATTTAGGGCTATCATATTCCTTAGCCAGATTCACTGTAAATATTGATGACACATAGTAACTGAAGCATAAACACATTATAGTGTTTTTTTTTTCAATTCTTGAAACCAAACTTTCTACAAATAAAGAGACAAAACAAGTGCTATGGTACTAAAACACTTTAATATTAGAACTGAAACTACATATACATATATATATATATATATATATATATATATATATATATATATATATATATATATACATATATACACACACACACACAAAAAGTGTGACGACCTGCAGTGCTGTGTCCAGTGATATGCACAGACTTGAAAAAAGAAAAAGCCAGTTCTCCTCTGCATCTCACCCTCCCCGTCCACTTGTTGTTTAGCTGGCAGAACCTCTCTGGAAAGATAAATGATGGGGCTCCTCTCCTGATAAGGTGCTGTCATTCTGTTCCAGTATGTTGTTTTTTTCTGACTGGCTCCCAGAATTCACTCACTAATTTTCAGATGATGGTCTGTGATATATAAAAAAGGGAAATAATTTACAAAACATTGACATTATATGCGTGTGAATACAAAAATAAACAGAAACACATGCACACAAAGAACCAGGATTATGCAGTTCATGAGCGCACACGCACATCATGAGCTATGACATAAACAAACACGACATAAGTTAGCACATGTAAACACACACACACAAGACATGTATGTTTTGCGTGTTTAGCAATTTCAACTCACAAAAAGGCCACATATTAAATAGTGCTGTAACGTTACGAGCGCACACCAGAGAACCTAGCTAGCAGGTAATGCTATGTTGAACACACTCACACAAACACACACGGCAAAAGCTGACACACCTCAACTGAGGCATGTGTTTGTTTTAGTACACCTAAAACAAACACATGTCTCAGTATATACAGTCAAATATGTTGGGCAATATAATAAAACTTACTTTTCGTGACGTGAGTGCCGTGGCCACCATCCAAAAGGGTCCTCTGCTAGTCGTGCTAACCAGACAACAACATCGATTGCTCTCTTGCTCACAAATGTCCTCCCACTCACCACGGTCACGGAGAATACACTGTTCAATCACTTCTTCGAGTAATAAGTGCGTCTTTCTAATTATCTTTGCCATTTCACATCTGTTACCTCCTTTCACTCACCAACGCGTTCAATGTTGTGTTTACGCACAAACGCGCAGAGGATCACTTTCGCTTTACGCATGAAATATAACGTAATCGGATGATTCCAGCCACTAAAGCTGCATTTCAGTCTTTTCAGAAATTCATTGGCTATCAGAAAATAGCGTCATTTCATTCTCTATTGCAACTGGATAGATAAACTGTCACTCAAAGAGAGGTAGGTACAGATTTCACCAGGCGAGCTCGTTGGTTGTTGGAACATCAGAAGACACCCCTAACACTCGCCGATTGGCTAAAATGACCTGTCAATCAATAGTTCGGGGGTCAGCGGCCATTTTGACATACTTTTTTCTCCAATGTTTACGTTTCAACTGAAGTTAGACAGATCAAATAGTGTTAGTGCGTCGAAGTTGTGATAGCGCTGTCGGCTAACGCGAAATGCTACTATTGCATTCCATGGATGTTTATTCATATATACAATTGTTTTGGACTAAAAACTTCTTCAAATTGGATTGTATGGACGCTTTACAGTGAAACCAAACCATTTTTGTTGGAATGTGGACTAACAGATGGCTAATTGGTGAGTTTCTTCCAGTTTGTGTTGGTTTGTTTTGGCTGTTGGTGGTCTGACAAAGAGACAGATTGTGCCCGCTGTGTTGATTGTATCTTAAAATGGTTTACGTCGTTCGAATCACGAGTTTCTCAGCTTTCCAAAGATATGTATTATGTTTACTTTTGTGTTTGTTTTGTTTTGTCTTTCACAAAGTTAAACCTATAAACCACCCTGTTGGCCGTATACGGCACGTCGGACCACAAACAGGTTAAAAAAAAAAAAAAAAACATTACTTAGTATGATTTATACACTGTTTTCCTCATGGACTGCTGGCTGGACCCCACAATGAAGATGATTTTCAGGTTTTACTATACTTGTGGGGACAAACATCTCACATAATGGTTTCAATGAAAAGCTCTTAAAATATCATACAGCCATTACAAACAGTCAAGCCATTTATCACACGTGAAGCGTACCACAGAGGAAACTATGTATTTAGACATTTAAATAGTTGTCTAAATATCTCTTTTTTTATTTTACAGGGTTAAAGCAAAGACATCTGGGCTATGAGGAGGTAAGAACCTTTGACATGACATTACATGAGCACAAACAAACATCCCTCCACCCACAGACGCAGGACAGATGAAATACAGCACTAACCCCTACAGGGGGAGAAAGAAAGAGGAGAGAACAAGAGAGTTGGGAAAAAGAAATGCAGCTCTGCCCTCTACTGGGGAAAAGATAGAGAGACTATGTTTGGAAAGACACGCTTCCATTCTACTCTTAGTTATGCAGTATACTGTACACACAGTGATGGTTATTTTCTGTATGCATGCTATCTACTATATTTGCTCAAATATTCAGTATACAGTAGAGCCAATATACCCTGTCCCAACTGGTGCTTAATAACCATTTTGTTTTGATCAACATGTGACAACAATGCAGCATTTTTATTATTTTAAAATATGTTTTTTTTTACATACTAGTATTTGCAGAGTTCAATATACTGCACATAATTCAGTACATAGTAAGCTAGTATGTTATTATAGAGAGAGGCAGTGTAGCTGTGCACAGCATACACTTTTCTGCTGTCAGTAATTGGTGTCTCATTCCTGGCTCAACCGAGTATGTCCCATCTGGGCACAGAGTCCAGATAGCCAAAGTCAATAAAGAACAGAGAAAACATCCATCATTTTCTCTCTCTCTCTCTTTCAATGATTACTCTCCAGCAACCATAGTTGCCACATGTAATGACCAGCCTCACCAGAGCATAGAAAATCACACACTCATTGTATGTGTTTGAGTGTGTGATTGTCTATGCTCTGGTGAGGCTGGTTTTTGGAATGCGAAAAAAATATAATTTGGACACTTACATATGTACGGAAGTGTATTGAATTCACTTGAGAAAAAAAAATCTACTTTTTCTGAATCAACGAGTTAATTATCTCAGAATTACAAGATAATTTTTCATGGAAATAAGTTTATGCTCGGTTTTTCTGAAAACCGAGTTAATTAACCATTGAGTTAATTATCTCAGAATTACGAGATAATTTTTCATGGATTTTTTTTTTGCTCTGTTTTTCTGAATTAATGAGTTAATTATCTCAGAATTACGAAATCATTTTTCATGGATTTTTTTTTTTGCTCTGTTTTTCTGAATTAATGAGTTAATTATCTCAGAATTACGAGATAATTTTTCTTGGAAAAAAGTTTTTGCTCTCTTTTTCTGAATTTCTGAGTTTTTGAGATAATCAAGTCATTAATTCAGAAAAACAGAGCAAAAAAAATTCCATGAAAAATGATCTTGTAATTCTGAGATAATTAACTCATTAATTCAGAAAAACAGAGCAAAAAGAAAAAACAGAGCATAAAAAAGATAATTTTTACATGAAAAATTATCTCGTAATTCTGAGATAAAAAAAATAACTCGTTAATTCAAAAAAACAGAGCAAAAACTTTTTTACATGAAAAATTATCTCGTAATTCTGAGATAAAAAAAAATAACTCGTTAATTCAAAAAAACAGAGCAAAAACTTTTTTTTCATGAAAAATTATCTCTTAATTCTGAGATAATTAACTCATAATTTAATGAAATTATAAAAATATATAACATTGTAAAAAATAAAAATCTTTTTTCATTTAAATAAACTAAATCTTACTTTGTTTATCCAATTCATTTGTCCAATGTATAAAAAAATAGAATTGAATTGACAAAAAAAAGTTATTTTAACTTCTGGGAGTTGGTAAAACTCAAAAAAGTAAAAAAAAAAAAAAAAAAAAAGAAACAAAATAATGAGTTGAGTTTTTTTTTTTTTTTTTTTTTTTTACAGTGATTATAAAGTATTATATAATATGATTTAATATAATTTGAATATGGGTGAAAGATAAGATTTTAGCCACAGTTAGAAAAGCTCCTCTTAGAGAGCGATGAACCATAGTGTGTGTGTACGGAGTAAAGAGATCCAGCATGACTTCCATCACGACTAACATTGCAGTTCACCTCTCCTCAGTCTGATGAGAAACGTCTTTACAAAACCACTGTATAGATGTGACTGTATGGGATTTTCTCACACTTACATTCTTTTATTCTCTTATTTCTCTCTCACAATCACCATTTCTCACTGTCCGTCCCATCATGCTTTTCTCTCCTGCGAATGAATGGATGCATTTGTTCCCCTTAGCAAGTATAACATGGCTGTTTGTGTTTGCTTTCATGGATGGGAGATGGAGTCATAAGACCAGGCCTGCAGACACACACACACACACACACTTTCCCATGCTAGTCATATGAGTTTTAGGGCTTAATCAGAGATAGAGAGAGAGTAAGTGAGAGCGGAGGAGAATTGGAGATGGAGGATTTCCTGTGGAGAATGCGGGTCTGGGCGTCCGTGTGCTTGAGGAAATGTTGTTGGTGTTGTGGAGATAAAACAGTCAGAAGGGAAGAAAAAGAGGAAATGTTTGAGATGAGAGTAGAAGAGATAAAAGAAACAATCAAAACAGAAGAAAAACCATCAAAGACTTGGAGTGTGTCCTCCCTCCCAGTCGCTGAGGTCAGATGGGTTTGTGTTGTGTGTGTGTGTGTGAGAGTGAGAGAGAGAGAGAGAGAGAGACAGAGAGAAAGAGAGAGAAAGTGAAAGATTGAATTACAATAATATTGACATTTGTAATATCATAGAAGAATGTCTCATAAAAATGTCACTATCTTTGTAATGTTTTTGAAAAATAGGTCTGATTATTTTGAAAACTGTTTCATAAGCGTCTCTAATTAACTGTAATGTCAGAGGGTTAAACTATCTTACCGTTTCTGATTTTTTACATTTTAAATAGTTCTTGTGCTGTTGCCAAGCAAATATTGAACGTCAAAAGTACTGTATTTGATTGAAGGGGAGTCTTAAGATATAATGCACAGTCATTTAGTTCCAAATTAACTGCAGATATGTATTATTGCCTGGTTACAGCACACTCTGTACAGCTAAGCCCATTCTGAGAGTCTCAGTTGTCCCCGTGTGCAATGAAATCACTCAGATTAACCAAATTTCGGCAAAGAGACAGATATAGGGAACATGAGCACTAAAAGAGACTTTGGCAGGACATTCTGACATCATCTGCTGTACAACTTGTTCTAATGGCATGAAATTGCTGTTGAAAGTTACTGAAAATTGCTGCACCATAGCTAAAAAAAAGTGCGTAAACAAAGCTAGAGCTTGACGTACAGACGATCGTGTTGTATGAGCTGGTATTTGTTAGTCTACCGTCAGCACTGGAACATCCAGTTCCAAGTAACCTTTGTCATCGCTGGATAACTCCAGTTCCAAATCATCTTTGTCTTCTCTGGTTAAGACCAGTTTCAAGTCGTCTCAGTCATCACTCATTAAAACCAGTTCCAATTCGTCTTCATCATCGCTGAATAAGCCGAGTTCCAAGTCGTCTTCATTGTTGCTGGTTCAGCACAGTTCCAAGTCGTCTTCATCATCGCTGGATAACTCCAGTTCGTCTTCATCGTTGCTGGATAACTCCAGTTCCAAGTCGTCTTCATCATCGCTGGATAACTCCAGTTCGTCTTCATCGTTGCTGGATAACTCCAGTTCCAAGACGTCTTCATCATCGCTGGATAACTCCAGTTCGTCTTCATCGTTGCTGGATAACTCCAGTTCCAAGACGTCTTCATCATCACTGTATAACTCCAGTTCCAAATCGTCTTCATCATCGCTGGATAACTCCAGTTCCAAGACGTCTTCATCATCGCTGGATAACTCAAGTTCCAAGTCATCTTCATCATCGCTGGATAACTCAAGTTCCAAGTCGTCTTCATCATCACTGGATAACTCCAGTTCCAAGACGTCTTCATCATCGCTGGATAACTCAAGTTCCAAGTCGTCTTCATCATCACTGGATAACTCCAGTTCCAAATCGTCTTCATCATCGCTGGATAACTTTAGTTCCAAATCGTCTTCATCATCGCTGGATAACTCCAGTTCCAAGTCGTCTTCATCATCGCTGGATAACTCAAGTTCCAAGTCGTCTTCATCATCACTGGATAACTCAAGTTCCAAATCGTCTTCATCATCGCTGGATAACTCCAGTTCCAAATCGTCTTCATCATCACTGGATAACTCCAGTTCCAAATCGTCTTCATCATCGCTGGATAACTCCAGTTCCAAATCGTCTTCATCATCGCTGGATAACTCCAGTTCCAAATCGTCTTCATCATCGCTGGATAACTTTAGTTCCAAATCGTCTTCATCATCGCTGGATAACTCAAGTTCCAAGTCGTCTTCATCATCGCTGGATAACTCCAGTTCCAAGACGTCTTCATCATCGCTGGATAACTCAAGTTCCAAGTCATCTTCATCATCGCTGGATAACTCAAGTTCCAAGTCGTCTTCATCATCACTGGATAACTCCAGTTCCAAGACGTCTTCATCATCGCTGGATAACTCAAGTTCCAAGTCGTCTTCATCATCACTGGATAACTCCAGTTCCAAATCGTCTTCATCATCGCTGAATAACTTTAGTTCCAAATCGTCTTCATCATCGCTGGATAACTCAAGTTCCAAGTCGTCTTCATCATCGCTGGATAACTCAAGTTCCAAGTCGTCTTCATCATCACTGGATAACTCCAGTTCCAAATCGTCTTCATCATCGCTGGATAACTCCAGTTCCAAGTCGTCTTCATCATCACTGTATAACTCCAGTTCCAAATCGTCTTCATCATCGCTGGATAACTCCAGTTCCAAGTCGTCTTCATCATCGCTGGATAACTCCAGTTCCAAATCGTCTTCATCATCGCTGGATAACTCCAGTTCCAAGTCGTCTTCATCATCGCTGGATAACTCAAGTTCCAAGTCGTCTTCATCATCGCTGGATAACTCAAGTTCCAAATCGTCTTCATCATCGCTGGATAACTCCAGTTCTAAATCGTCTTCATCATCGCTGGATAACTCCAGTTCCAAATCGTCTTCATCATCACTGGATAACTCAGGTTCCAAATCGTCTTCATCATTGCTGGATAACTCCAGTTCCAAATCGTCTTCATCATCGCTGGATAACTTTAGTTCCAAATCGTCTTCATCATCGCTGGATAACTCAAGTTCCAAATCGTCTTCATCATCGCTGGATAACTCAAGTTCCAAGTCGTCTTCATCATCACTGGATAACTCAAGTTCCAAATCGTCTTCATCATCGCTGGATAACTCCAGGTCCAAATCGTCTTCATCATCACTGGATAACTCCAGTTCCAAGTCGTCTTCGTCATCGCTGGATAACTCAGGTTCCAAATCGTCTTCGTCATCGCTGGATAACTCCAGGTCCAAATCGTCTTCATCATCACTGGATAACTCCAGTTCCAAGTCGTCTTCGTCATCACTGGATAACTCCAGTTCCAAGTCGTCTTCGTCATCGCTGGATAACTCAAGTTCCAAGTCGTCTTCATCATCACTGGATAACTCAAGTTCCAAATCGTCTTCATCATCGCTGGATAACTCCAGGTCCAAATCGTCTTCATCATCGCTGGATAACTCCAGTTCTAAATCGTCTTCATCATCACTGGATAACTCCAGTTCCAAGTCGTCTTCGTCATCGCTGGATAACTCAGGTTCCAAATCGTCTTCGTCATCGCTGGATAACTCAGGTTCCATGCGTCTTCGTCATCGCTGGATAACTCCAGTTCCAAGTCGTCTTCATCGTTGCTGGTTCAACCAAGATATAAAACAAGGTGTTCTAACATCTCACACTGTATCTAACATAGATCAAACTGTCTCTCTCTCCATCTTTGTCTCCTATTTCAGCTGGGTGAGCTGGACGGGGTGGAGAAACCACAGCCGCACTGGTTTCACACGCTGCAGGTGCGACGGCTCAGAGTTCAGAGGGGCCGCAGTAACAGCGATCCGATGGGAGGAAAGAGCTTCCAGCAAGAGTTCCAGTGGGTGAGGGACACACACATACAACTCAGACATACAACAATACACAACATGTGATTTAAGCATGTCCACATACACAGCCATGCACAGTGAGAAATGTTATCACTAACTATCAATATTACGTTACTTATTACAAACTGTAATATTACATTGAAAGCAATGTTAACCCTATAAAGGCTGATGCATAATATTATTGAATTATCAACGTGATCAAAACTTTCTACTACATGCCTTCTTCTGTCATTGGATTGATGGTTTATACTTTTTTAGAAAATAAAATGCCTTTTAGTATAATTGTAAAAACGTCCCCCTTCAGGTCATATCACACGTCTATTTGCTCTGAAATGTTTAATGATTTTTATGAAGTAAATGTTAGAATAACTTTTATATTGTTACTACAATTTCGAGATGAACATTTACTGGCCTGAAGCAACTTAGATTTAAATGAGTATCCCTATACTTATTTTTTAGGTAAATTATGTTATAAAGTGATTATATAAAATATGATGCATCAGTCTTTTGAGGAACGCTTCAATCATCATTCTCCTGCATTGCATTATATGTGTTGCGCTACACAGTAAAAATCATAAAACGAAACATTTAAATATATTATTAAGACATAGTATTGGGAGATATGGATTGACAACTGATATTAAATCCATTTTATGTATAGTCTCATAATTTCATTTTATGTTTTTGGCCATATAAATAACAACATCTGCAGCAAATTGCATTATTTTGGCTCAGCTTGTTTTTTCTCCGTGAGTATGAGCTCTTGAAATCATACTTAACGGGCCATAAAAGCCTGATGAAATACATAGGGTTAATTCAAGATAACTGGGCCATGTTTCCCATTCATCTCCATGGCAAAACGCACATTTTTTTTTTTACTTTGTCTAAAGGTACAACAAACTGTTCCATTAAAAAAGTCGTATTAAATAATATAATAATACAACTATAATATTATATTTATAGACTTTTCTTTTTACTTTGGAAGTGTTATTTTTATAGTTTGCATAGAATGACATAGGGTTATAGAATGACATAGGTTTAGTTGTTATTAGCTCCAAATTTAAACCAAAGAGGGTCTAATAGCTACCTGGAAAAGCTATATCAGTTAACATGCTCCTTCATTTCAATGGCTGTTGCTTGGTGAAATAACAGTGTGTGTGTGTTTTATTCACAGAAAACTGGCCTGCAGTTTGGGAATGCAACATCTTATCTTAATCTCGAAAAACTTGGAGAGGGCACATATGCCACAGTTTACAAAGGAATTAGCAGGTTAGTAGTCATCTGTAAACACTCACACATTCACACAAATCAATAGTGTAATTGATAGAGCTCAGTTATATGTTGCCTGTAGGACATTCATTCACTGAGGCGAGATTAATGTTTTAGCTTTATGGCAGCATTTAGTTGGCAAGCACATTATTCAGATACACCACCCTGTGGCTTTGTTCCTCTGTATAATAGACAGCAAATGATTCTTTTCACTGCCTCCCTGTAGGCATTTCTTGAGTTCTTCTGTAACAGCTTGTTTTACATGGATTTGTTTAATAAGGTCATCCTGCAACATATGGATACCCACCTGAGGCCTTAACTGATAGGCAGTTTGATGTTGTTGTACAACAACAAATGCGTTTTAATGAAAAACAGCTCCCATTTATCTCCGTACAGCTCTTTTAGGATAGAAAACTTTACATTTAGCAACAATGAAGGAACCTTCCAGCCGGTGAAATGCTTTTTTCATGAATTTTACTATAAAGTATATTGTTCCAAACCCATGAGACTTCTTCGAAACACAAATTAAAGGGATAGTTCGCTTTGAAATACATTTTTGTTATGTTTCAGCTTACCACAAGGGCATCCAGGATGTAGGTGTCTTTGTTTCAACAGTAGTTTCAATTTTTACATTTTTAGGTCAAACCGTTCTTGTCTGTCAGTCATATAATGGAGGTCTATGGTTACCACCTCAAAGAGCATGCACAGAGAAGTCCAAATTAAACATGATTTAATGACTCATAAATGTAAGTACACATTGATGGCCGAAGACACGAAACGAGCGGTTTGTGTGAGAAATCAAACAGTATTTATATCGTTTTTCCCTCTTGTAACCACAGCCACGTCCAAGTGATCCGAGGGCGCAAGCGCCGGAAGTGATCTCTCACGAGCGTTCGAAAGTGTTACCCTTCACTTTAAAGATCTAAACAGATTTAGAAATACAGGAAATCGCAATGGAAGAAGATTTCGATTTATCAACAGACAAGGTTGTATTTTTTTCTCAAGCGCGCAAGAGATCACTTCCGGCACTTGCGCAGACCGAAGCGCCCACGCCTTCAGATCACTTGGACGTGGCTGAGGTTACAAGAGATAAAAACTATATAAATACTGTTCGTTTCGTGTCTTAGGGCATCAATGTGTACTTACATTTACGAGTCATTAAATCATGTTTAATTTGGACTTCTCTGCGCATGCTCTTTGAGGTGGTGACCATAGACCTCCATTATATGACTGAAAGACAAGAACGGTTTGACCTAAAAACATCCAAATTGAAACTAGTGTGGAAACAAAGACACCTACATCTTGGATAGACCTTGAGGTAAGCTAAAACATACCAAAAATGTATTTCAAAGTGAACTATCGCTTTAAGAGATTTCTGTCCCTCCATTAGACAGCCATGAACCATGATTTGCACATTCCCTTCACATTTAATTATTCAAAAAATAGAAGATAAAGACTTTTGGTGAAATTTTAAACTGTTTTCTAGTGTTTTCTTCATGTTGTAAAGTGTTTTTTAGTGTGTTTCTTCATGTTTAAGAGTACACTAGCTAATAAATAACTTCACGGCTAATGGACAAAACTCCAATTCTGATTTCATAAGGTCTTCAAAAGGAAGAGCTTGTGATGGTGTTCTACTTCCTTACCAAAACTTTTACCAGCAGATGCATGATTGTGGATTATGCTGAGGTTTTTCTGTTTCTGGCAGGATAAATGGTCATCTCGTGGCTTTAAAGGTGATTCACATGAAAACTGAAGAAGGAATTCCATTCACAGCTATTAGAGAAGGTACTGCAAGTGCATAACACACACACACGAAACAAAACTGCTCATACACACATAGGGCAGTGGTGTAAAAATCGTCAGTGTGTGTATAAATTGTGTTATCCATGTAATTACGAATAATAAAAAAATTATAGGGTATATAAATGGGAAGCATTATATATAGATATCTGTGACTGAAATATGATGCAATAGTGCATTAATACACCGTTTTTATAGACAACACATAAGTTATGTTCACATTTTGACATGCTACCATACAAAAGTGTGAGGTCACTTTTTTGTTTAATGAAATTAATACTTTTATTCCGTTAAATTAATTTTAAAAAAACAGTAGAGACATTAATAATTCATATTCCTTTTGGAATATTAACCAGTACAACTATTTTCAATATTGGTAATAATAGAAAATTTGTCTTAAACAGCAAATCAGCATATTAGAATGATTTCTGAAGGATCATGTGATCCTGAAGACTGCAGTAATGGCAGCTAAAAATTCACAGGAATAAATTAAAATTAAATTAAATTGTAATAATATTTCACAATATTACTGTTTTTACTGTATTGTTGACCAAATAAATGCAAAAGAAACTTCAATCCAAAATATTAAAATATCTCATCGACCCCAAAGTTTTAAATGCTGGTGTATATAATAATAATAATAATAATAATGAATCATTTCCCCTTGCCTGAGTGAAAAGTGGCTCGTCTCACTCCAGTCTCCTCTAAATATGTGATTGTACTGCGCTTGTTAATGCCGTATGCCCATGTTATTTGTGATTATTCCCAGCCTCCTTGTTAAAAGGCCTCAAACATGCCAACATAGTCTTGCTCCACGACATCATTCACACGCGAGAGTCTCTCACCTTTGTCTTTGAGTACATGGTGAGTCTAAGACGTTAGCAGTCGCCTTCCAAGATTTTTTTTTTTTTTGATTTTTTTTTGTCAGTCTGACCTATTTCACATCTTTCTCTTTCACCCTTTCAGCAAACAGATTTGGCTCAATATATGATTCAGCATCCTGGCGGACTTCACTCTTACAACATCAGGGTAAACAAAACCCGTGAACGCACTGAGCTGTCTTTAATGAGCTGTCTTTCTTTCTCACACTCTGTCTGTTTGTTCAGCTCTTCACGTTTCAGTTGCTCCGAGGATTGTCTTACATTCACAGCAGAAGAATTCTGCATCGAGACCTCAAACCTCAGAATTTGCTCATCAGCTATCTGGGAGAACTCAAATTAGCCGATTTTGGTAGGTTTCGTTTAATCTACACATATCCAAACACTCAAACGATAACTAAAATGCATTCTAAACTATTGTGGGCCTCTTGTTGCTTCAGGTCTGGCCCGATCTAAGTCCATACCGTGCCAAACGTACTCCGCCGAGGTCGTGACTTTATGGTACCGCCCGCCAGATGTTCTCATGGGCTCCACTGATTACTCCACAGCCCTGGACATCTGGTGAGTCCCTGCACACACACACACTAATTCCTCTTAGAAAGGTTCATAATTGTGGCTCTAAATGTCTCTTTAGGGGAGCCGGCTGCATTTTTATTGAGATGCTGCAGGGGTCACCAGCGTTTCCTGGAGTTGCTGATGTCTTTGAGCAGCTGCTGAAGATTTGGACAGTGAGTCTGTACTATAATTGTGTGAAAGTTCTCTTCTATCCATTTATTTATCCTCCTCTCCTCCCATTATTCATCTCTCCTCTTCTTTCCTTTTGAGGTCGTCGGGGTCCCGACCGAGGACAGCTGGCCAGGTGTCAGTGATCTGCCGAACTACAAACCAGGTGTGTGCTAAATCCTTCTTTCATCTGTCTCTGTACTGTAATCTCACAGATGTGTCTGCTATGAGAGGTGATTTCCTGTCTCAACAGATTTGTCTCATTCATCAAATGCTTGTGTCTGTCAGGGTATGTCAGTTACATAAAAATATAACAACGAAATGTTTAAATGTGATTGAATAAGCTCAATTATATTATGTTACATTCATTTGTGGACTTTTTAGATCAGGAAAAAAAAGATCCTTAAAGGGATAGTTCACCCCAAAATGAAAACTTTTGTCATCATTTATACTCACCGTCATGTCAGTCAAACCTGTGCAGCTTCTTTCTTTTATGGAACACAAAATTATTATTTGAATTGTGTTCAAATTAAGTCGATATTCATTGATAATCTTCCCCTGAATCATAGCTCTCAAATCTCATTCACTCATTATGATGCATATATTCAGACTTTTGAAATGCTGGTGAATCATTCGGTATAGTCAAAGCCATTGATTCCTGCATGTCTCATCTCTCATGGCCTCTAAAGTGTGAAATTTAAAGGGATAGTTCACTTTGAAATTAATCTTTGGTATTTTTTAGCTTACCTCAAGGGCATCCAAGATGTAGGTGTCTTTGTTTCCACAGTATTTTCAATTTTGACATTTTTTTGTTGTCTATCAGTCATACACTGGAGGCTAAGGGGATCCACCAAAAAGCATGCACAGAGAAGTCAAAATGAAACATGATTTAATGACTCGTAAATGTAAGTACACATTGATGGCCTAAGACACAAAACGAGCGGTTTGTGTGAGAAAACGAACAGTATTTATATAGTTTTTATCTTGAGGTAAGCTAAAACATATCAAAAATTAATTTCGAAGTGAACTATCCCTTTAACCCAGACATCATATGGGCTGCTTTTATGGTTCCTTTTACATCAGACGTTCTTATCCTTTTGACCATCATTGTCCACAACAATATTTAAAGACCCCATGACTTTCCCAGTTGATTGTGAGTCACTGGATTAGCATTAAAGATACGTTTTTTTTTGTTTTGTTTGTTTGTTTGTTTTTTACTTAAAACTGATCAAACCTGTAGAATATAGTTTAGACCTTGGCATAACTTGAAAAATGTAAATCCATTATACAATTTGTATTCATTTGCAGGCCTAGAAATTACACTTAATAAATTACATTTAGTTATCTTTAGTTAATCACAAGATGAATATCCATTTTCAATATTGAAAATTGCAATGCTGTGGTATGTAAACTCACCTGTCGCATTTAAAACGATTGGTTTTACTTTTTTAGTGTTTTGTTTCGAATAAATTCTGAAAGAATTGTGTAGAATTTTAATATTGCCTATTTATAATCATCCATATACAATACAGTTACGCATTATTTTTAACATAAAAGTGTGTGCGGCGATTAGTAACTTGAATGTGACTTCCGTGTCAAGCCTTTCCAGTTATTTTAGCTGTATTTTAACGATCTGAAACGCAAGTATCAAGCGCGAAGCGCAAGTAACTTTGTTTAAGTTCTGTTGCTTTTATATCAAAATAAATATAATGAACAAGACACCCAAAGTACTTGTTATTTAATTACATTCCAAATATGTGTTCATTTTTTCTTTAATACAGACATGTGTTTTTATATATTGTTTTAAAGCTACACTGTGTGATTTTTACCCCATCTAGCGGTGAAAAGGTATATGACCATCCAGTGAATATTAGTGTCTGTTCCTCTCAATTCCGATTTCGTTTTAACTCCTACGGTGGCCAATGTAGTCCAAGATGAACATGGCTTCCAGTTCGACCTCGTCCATGAGTGTTAACTCAAACGTAAACGCGAAGGGCAAAGCTTGAATTAACGGGTATGTCCCTCTTTGGTTAATGTACTTTCAAGATGGAGGGGCAACATGGCGACCGACATTAGAACCCCTTACCCGTATGTATTTTCAATGGCATATTATACACTCACGAGAATACTTTATTACTTGAACGAAGTAAATATACATTAATGAGCTCATAGATTTTTGAAAGAACTAAAGTGTAAACACTAATGAAGTGTTTTTAGCTAAGAATAAACTAAAAGAGTTACAAAGTGTAGCTTTAAAGTCAGGCACATTCACAGTAGAATGACTTACTTTTGCATTGTAAATAATAAGTTTGATATGCTAATTTGTATTTTTGTGCACCACAGAAGTTGAATTTATTTATGTTCCATGGAAGAAAGTCATATGTATATTGTCAGATTTTACATTTTTTAGTGAACTTTCCTGCACATTCTCACTTTTTACAATTTGATTTCTTTGTTTTTTTTAAACATCAAGTAAATACAAATGTACCCATTCATTCATAGAATTAGAAATTCACATAGACACCGTCATCCATATGCACTGTGTGTGTGTTCTTATATGGTTTAGAGGTCATAAATATGTATGGGTATTACAACATAAACATGGTTTATGAGGACACTTCCTCTGTCCCCATAAACCAAATGGCTTAAAAAACATAAACCATGTTTTTGGTCTCCATGAGGAAAACAGCTTATAAATCATACTAAATTATGTTTTTTGAAAATGAGAAAATACGTTTAGGGGTAGGGTTAGTTTAAGGGTGTAGAGTAATAGAATATACAGTTTGTACAGTATAAAAATCATTATGTCTATAGAAATTCCCCATAAAACATGGAAACCCAACGTGTGTGTGTGTGTGTGTGTGTGTGTGGCTATGTGTGGGTGTAAACTTGTTGCCAAGGGTCTGTCGTTTTAATAACATGCAGTCATACAAACAGAAATTCGCTAGAGCAAATTCACAAAGTAGTGCCGAAGCTCTGTTTCCAATATAAATCATTTTGTGTGTATAGGTGTTCTGTTAGCGGTTTTGTTGGCCATGAGTTGACTTGACACCTTCGAGTCAGACACAAACACACACACCCTCACACACTCATGCAGGAAAGGTATTGATGTCTTTCCACTGCAGTCCTGGAAATAAAGTGCAAACTCATTACACAGGTGCACAAATGAGCAATGTGAGGTGGCTTTGGGAAATATGCCTCATTTAGAGTGTGTGGGTACTGATGGAGATGATGTGTGTGGTAGGTAAACTGCTGGCAGGCCTTCCCTGCTGTGTTTCTCCATGAAGCTGGGTTTACCCAAGCCCCAGGCTGCTCTGCATGTGTGTGTGCCATGTGTTGGAGAGAAGCTACATGAACCCGCTGTGGTCTCTCAGGTATATCCAGGTGTGCTGAAGCAAAGTGTGGCTTCGGGTTTCAGCCAAGAATGGCCGGGTGGCCCGTGACCACAGCCACTGACAGAGGGACACTCATAATGAAGGCTCCTCAAAAGTTCTTTATATAATAGCAAAAAACATTTATGAGTGGTTTGAGTGTTTCTTAAATTAATAGTTTACCCCAAAATAGTATTTTTAAAAAGCAGTGTTATTTTAGTATTATTTTATATAGGCTACTCTTATATGCAAAATGATGAAAATCTTATTTCACGATATTAGACTATATAAACTAGATATTTATCACAATATAGTTATTTTTATTTTATCTTTGTTATTAATAAACTGCTAAAATGCAAATTAGTACTTCAGGTATGTTTTTAAAAAATGTTTAAAAATGTGCTTGATAAATGTTTTTAACGTCAAACCGCGCTTTATTTTCTCATTCATGCATATTTCTTGCAATATGCAATCATGCAATTGTCAAAGACTTTAAGCAGTTCTGTTCTGCGCAGCTGTGATATACACAATATAGCAAAATCTCTATTGATAGACACTTTATATCTTCACCGTGATATTTATCATCATAATGCTTAGCTCCACTATTTAATGTTTTGAATGAGTTTTCTTTCTTTTTTTTATTTCAACTTTGATATGTGCATTGTATAGTTTGTTTTCATTTTTATTTCATTTTTAGTAACTTTTTTATTTTATTTATATAATTTTAGTTCAATTAGTTGCCAAGACAACATTTCTTACTTTTGTTTCACATGAAAGTTTTTCATTTAATATTTATATTTTATATTATTTGAGCTTTATTTCAATTAATGAATGTGTACTATTTTTAATAATTTTAGTTAATAATGACAAAATTGCACAAAAGAAGAAATTCAGCAGAATGTTCCTGCTGCTCTTTTCCATGTAGCAAAAGCATACAGTGATCATAGCTTGTCATCTCCATAAGAAAAAAGACAAAAAGCATAATAAAAGTGGCCTTCACAGCTTTTGCGGTATTGAAGCCTACGATGTTATAAATGAACATGTTATGTGTTATTAAAAACTGTGTAAAAAACTAAGACATTGCATTTCTTTAATAACTTCATAACTTCCCATTTGCCAAGAGTAAATTGAGACATGTTGTGCAAAGATCTGATATTAGCAATTGCCATTGGTACTGGTGCAGCTCATAAACAGTAATTATCATAAAAGAAAGAAATGTAGAGCAGTAACTTGATTCTATCCATCATTTAATTTTGAGATGTGGACATTTCATTCAAGAATTAATGCAAGCTTGCAGTCAATTGTGAAGGGGCGGGGTTTAAGAGAACTGCTGTGAATGATTGGAGAAGTCTGTCATTTCACTAGATAGAAGGTCAAGTTATGACATTTGGATTTAATATTACAAGCACTTTTTTTAATACATGGATAACTTCACCTAAAAGCTTCAGTCCGTAGCTTTTTTTGGTTAAAAATTATCCCGAATACATATTTGAGAAAATACATAACCAGACAGTGTTCAAAACTAAATACTTGCCTTAGCTCGATTCAAAGCGGTAAGCTTGTAATAATTTTTTTCTGGAATCAATGATAAATACATGTCTGACCGTTGGAACAAACAAACAAACAAACAAAAAAAAACGAGAAAAATCGCATTCATGATGATTTATGGTGATTTTATTTCCATTAGACCTGTGTCTACATTGACGCTCCCCTGTTCCAAGATGGCGGCTCTATTGACGCATTCGTTCCAATGAACTGCCGTAGCCAAGGCGACATAGTGTATATGTTTATGAGTTAAACTCATGTAAAGTTGATAATTCCGCGAATGACTGCAATTGCAGATTTCGAACAGAGATGGCGACAAAGAGAAAAGATTTAGATCTATAAAATGTATTTACAAAATGAATATTGAATTTTCAGCTCATTCTGGCTTAAATAATGATCCTTTTTGGAGCTTGGCAGCCCAAGTCCCCTCTCACTATCATTGTCTGGAAAGGAGCAGCGTGAACATTCTGCCAAACATCTTTTTTTGTGCTCCACAGAACAGGTTTGGAATAACACAAGGAATAGTAATTTGATGATGGATTTCAAAGATTGTCTCATTGTCTCAACATGCTCTGAGTGAAGATACCTGATCATAGTTGGATGTTTTAGAGGTCTATTTAGCTAAAAGAGGACTCTTTGTGTTCCTGTAGAGTGGTTCCTGCCCTGCAAGCCCCGGCAATTTCGAGATGTCTGGAAAAGGTAAGACCAGTTCATGCATTCATGCTTCTGCGCATATGTGTGTGTGTATGTGTTGGCTCCGAGTGGGAACAGAAGGGTTTTTGTATTGCGGTCCTCATCTCCCCTCCACCAACCCCCTCTAATGGATGTCTGACCCATAGCTCTCTCTCTCTCTCTCTCTGTGTATACATTGGCCCAGACTCGCTCAGTTACCTTATAAGACGGAGGACCTGGCCCAGCAGATGCTGATGATGATTCCAAAGGACAGGATTTCAGCCCAGGATGCATTGCTGCACCCATATTTCAACACTCTTCCACCTCCGTTAATGCATCTAAGGGACAGTAAGTGCTGGAGAATTTCACTATATGAGCGGAATGCACGCAATTCCAGCTTCAAAGGCTAATCCCGTCCCGTTTCAGACAAGATCAAAGTTAAATCCCTCTTTAGTTTCTGTCAAAACTGGCAACCTTTTTCAACACCGCCTCAAGATGAAAAGAGATTATGCAATCTTAGAAATGTATTTTTCCTCCTGTCACTCGGTCATTTGTCTCTTTCTCCGTCAGCCGTGTCCATCTTTAAGGTGCCGGGCGTGAGGTTAGAGCCGGAAGCGAGGGATATCTTCAGCCCCAGCAGACGAATGAAATCGCCTCTTGCTCCGCTGGCCAAGTGCTGGTGAAAGACTTGTCTTTGTAAATAGTTGGTGTGCTCGTGAAACCAAAAACACGCCAGCATGAGTAAACGTGACACTGTTGCAGCATGACGGTCAGTTTGTATATGCAGATCTAAATCAGCTTTATCAAATTTAGGCTATTTCTTAGGGAATATCAGATTACATTTCATAAGAATCATGTTTTTACATTTTGGACCAGTAATAGCTTAGAGAAAGTTTAATGGTAGATCGTGACGATCCAAGTCGAAGCTGATTTATCACCAGGATCCATGCATTCAAACACTGTATTTTGAGATCGTATTCACGGAGAGAGGATCAGATATGTCTGCTTTCCTGCCTCTCAGCAAAGTAATGTTTACAGCACACTTTCATTGTGAACAAGTTTGAATTAAATGCACTTTTTTTGTATATATTGCACAGAAAAGAGTGAGAGTGTAAGAGAGTTGAATTGGGAATGTGATATGAGAATACGTGGAAGAATATACCTACTAATATTTCAAAGCTCTATTGTATAGTGTGCAGGTGAAAAAAATACTTGTATGCGTGCATAAAACACCTGGAGAGTCTCTCCTGAAATTACCTGTTTTTGTACAGCACATACTCATATTTCTGTGGCCAGCGTGTCAAAACATGTTTAGTACTGTTTTTAGCTAAGTTTGTATCAAGTTCATCATTAATAGTGTCAGTATATTTACATTTTAAATGTGTATGTATGTATGTATAAGATGCAGCTTCTAAGTCAATGTTCTAAGTGAGAGGTGCACAGCAATAATCGTCACCAACAAATAACCAATAGCAATCACTCAATGCTGATGTCATACACAAACTTCAACATAATCTGCAATACTGTGAAAATTGTGTATGTGTTGATAAAATTGTATACAATCCCACTGTGTCTTGACTTCTGAATAAATATCATTAAAAAAAAACAACACTGGTAAGGGTAAAGGCAATTTTCAAAACACATGAACAGCAGAGAACAAAAGTGTCATGAAAGAGGGCGTTAAACCTCATGTCTCAAAGAACATAACATTACAATAATAATGAACATAAAGAGCACTGACCTGTACAGCTTGACTGCTGCAGATTAATTTCATTATTGTTGCCATTGAAACGCATAAATTTGAGTCATGGTTTTCCATCTCTTACAAATTACCGTAGTTATGGAGTGAATGCAACATAAGCTTGTTGTTTTTTTGGATCTGAAGGAAATGTAGGTGGCTGCTGTTTTGGTTGTGGAGCTCGATGGCTAACTCCACGTAGCATGAAACACGCCGATGACGTGTGATGTCTGTATTCAGACCAAATTCAGTGATTGGGCTAAACATTTTGTGGTCCTTTGCCTTCAGACGATATAAATATAAATACTTTTTCATCACTTAACTTAGTGATTGCAATTAGGATGTGAAGAGACTTTCAACCAACAAAACAAAACAAAATTTCTGGAACAAATCACCTACCCTGCCTTTAAGTGGGTTTGTGGTAGTTCACTGATGTCCCAAATGTTCTTGTTCAAAGTCCAGAAGGCGCAGGAACCAAGTAGTGGTTTACATCACCTATTGCACATGAACAAAACACTTTACCCATGTCCCTCCAGGGGACCACCAGAGGGAAGATTAGGTAGATTTAACCTATATTGCTTAAACGGTGGGTAAAAAAATTGTGTCTTTAAAGATTATAATATACATTACCGTATATTTTTACTCAACCATGTAAAATTTTGTAGTTTTTTGTAAATTTAGCTCATAAATATACAATTATTACTGGAAAAGTTTCCTCCATTATTTTACTATTAGCATGGTCCACTTAGCAACTTTTGTAAGTAACTTAACCACTCATTTCCACAAGATAACACCTGATCTGACCGACATGTACAGTGACCGAACAGTTTGTTTTGTTTTATGGCTTAATCTGAAATCGACAAACAATGAATGTTCCAGTTCAGTCACTACGCTAACTATCAATTAAACACACTACCGATGGAGGGACTACAAAACGGATGCAAAACACGTGACAAAATTATAAAAAAAAAAAAAAAACTTGCTACAAATGAGGAGTGTCTTTTCATTGTGCTGTTTCAGTATTGTGTAACTTCTGGAGTTTTGTATGAAGATGAAATCGTAATGCAGCACTCATGCAGTTCCTTCACCAGCCACGACAGGGCGCCCTATTTCGCACAAGTTCACCCAACAGTAGCACGACTATCCACGCCGGGGCTAGTTGTCACTATGGCTCAGTTAAACAAACATTTAGCGCTGTTTTTGTATGTTGGTTGCAAAAATCAAATAGAAATACAATATTCTCTTAAATGACAATATTATAATGAATACAAAACTCAAATGAACACAATAAAACCACATTGGATACATTCAGGCAAATGACCACAATATAATATATTTGTATTTGTTGTTTTGTTTTTCAAAATTTATTATTAAATTTTTGCTTAACCTATAATCTTAAAAAAGTTTTTGGCATCAGTGGTTCCTTGAAGATCATTTAACATCCATTAAACCTTTCCATTGCAAAAAAAGGTTCTTTAAAAAAAAAAACATTTTTGGTTCTTTGCGCTGTCACAATGTAAGCTGCCATTAAATAACATGGCACCACAAGGTCAATATGTTTTCAGTTCACTGTATTTCCCTAGTTTCCCTATAGGCAATAGAGAACTCTTTAATCAACTTTAATTTTTTATATTAAATAAACCATGAGAATTTTTTTTTGATAACAACTAGCCTTGGACTTTTTAGTGTCCTACACCTTCTCCCTAAAGCTGAATTCAGCAAGTCTGTTAAATGTATGTGTTGGTTTCCATCACAGGAGTCAGTGGGTGGAGAGTTTTGACGGAGTGGTTCAAGGCCATGAAATGAAAAGCGGAGAGCTCAGATGGTCTCTCTCAGTATGTATTTTCCAAGGCTTAACTCACTCTTAACTCACTCTGATGTGGTCTTGTTAACATTACTGCAGCGCCAGCAAGGTTTTATATGGGTTTATGATATTAATTAATGTCAAAGCACAAGGTCATAAGACCGCCGTGAGGTAAAGTAGAAACTATTAAGTGCTTACTGATGTCGGTAAAGCTCTGACAGATATAAGATAGTTTAGGCCTGTATAAACACGTGACAAGCCAAAAACGTCACACAAAAGTACTCTAACAAACACTCACTCATAAAGTGTGCATAATGCAGTGGTGGAGATCCATTACTCATAGCTAAATTAAAGCGATCTGCGATCATGCACATACTCGTGTCACATGTGAGTGTGTTTAAGGGTGCAATTTGAGGAGAGTCATTTCCAGTTTATTCCTACAGAAACGCAAGATCCCTAAGTACAAAGAACAAAAATGAATCTGCCGTCTGTCTCCAGTGCTCAGGCATCTCATCCGATATCCTGATGATTTGAGAATGCATGAGGACATTCCATTTAAACCATTCATCTGTCATCACCCACTCCACCCACTGAAGGATACTGAACAACTACTGTTATCTCCAGTCTAACACCCTGAGCTCTCCTCTGAGCTCCTTAAAACACTCTCTCCACTTAAAAATGATTTGTTTGAGGGGAAAGAAAACTTGAGTCATACTAAGTCAGTAGATGTCCATTAGTCCAGTCCTTAATGGAAATCTTATCAGTCCAACATCAGATCGATTACTTACAATTATTCCAACGATATTTTGCTATCAAACTACCTGGCAACCACTAAAAAACCTAATTGTGACACTTGGCAACCAGTACGAGCAGGAAAACAACTGCTTAGCAACAACAACAACAAAAAAGAACACAATTGCAATGCCCTAGTAACTACCCAACAACACCCTACCAACCACTCAAAACACTAGTAACATCCTTGTAACCCCCTCAGAACATAATTTAATAGCAGAGCTATATAAGACAACTAAAATTAGTTTTTCTGTGATTTTGCCAAATAAGACAGGTCCATAATTAGTTGATCCTGATTCCTGGAACAACATTCCTCTCTGAACATTTAACCATATCCTAATCCTTAAAATCAGAAGGGAAATTATGATTAGCACTGATGTAGAAGCACCTAAAACTGCTTGTAAACCTAAACTTGTCATAAACTTCAAACTTGTCCCTCAAATCTGATTGGTTGATTGGAATGTTGTTCCAGGATCAACAAAGATGTTGATTCAGGAACATGTTGCACTTGGTTCACTGTCAATCAATGGCGTTCTCATGTAGCATGATGCTAATGGCAATGTCAAGGATTCAATTTTATGTTATGTGGTGATTGTAGCCTACATAAAGAGAGGAAAAACAAATCAAATGCACATAACAGGCTGTATGAAATGAAACAGGCGCTAAATCATCAATGCGATGTGTCAGGATTTTGCATTAGGCTTTTACATTGAGGATAAACATGAGAAAGGCATGTGGCCGGTTGGGTAACGTTTCAAGGTTGCAGTAGCATTTGTTTGGCAGCATGTGTAGCTTAGGAAGGGGACTGTAAAGTGTGAGAGAGTGTTTTGGGTTCTGTGCGTGTGTGTGGTCTCGGCTCTCTCGGCTTTTGTAGCTCTCTCTGTTTATTCATGGCTCCTCAAACACATGCAAGAGACAGCTGTTACGCCCAACCTCCATGCAGGCCTCACAAGCCTGGGGCTAGATTTACACACACCAGCCAGATAGGTGTCACTGTATCAGGGGTGGAGTGTGAGGATTTGTGGGAGCTGTCACAACAACTTTTTACTGTTCATTGTGGTATGGAAGGTGATAGATAGATGTATTTGTGCTTTTTGAGCATGGAGTGAATTAAAAAAGTACAGCTATGTTTATCAAAACAGTCTTGGTTTTTTCCTTATTTGATTAAAATGGCCTTGAATCAATTAAAACGTCTCTTTTTTAAGAGGGAGGGAGGACTTTGAGAGACACTACTACTTTATTACCTTGTGTAACTATCTGGAATCTTATAAAACACTGGCTTTTTTCCTATTGAAAATATTTTCCTCTTACCCTCCTCCCCATCCCGCTCTGCTCTTTATTTCCTGTCTTCCTCTCCTCCCTGCTCCATGTGAGATTGAGTCCTCAAACAATAAATCCCTCTGCCTGCTCATTTAATCTGCATATCACTCTTCTATTGACCATTATCAACAAAATAGCCACCCATACTTAGCATGCAAATTATCTAGTTATTTGGAGAAAGAGAGAGAAAGAGTGAGGCCCAGTGGGGGGTCTGCTGGAGTAGTGTGGGTTTCCTTTAACATAATGGGATTTCAACAGGGGGAAGGGGGCTATTGTCTTTTGGCAGCTCATTGAAACCCTTCAATTTTTTTGGTTTTGTTGATAAGGTAAACCTGTTAAACTGTCAACTTTTGTCTCCTAAATGCTATTTTCAAGCAATTGTTCACACTGCAAAACCACCTCTGAAAACGGTTTAGTTGAGCACACCGAACATGTTTTAACTGTCAGAAATCTGAAAGGGATATTCAAGGTTCAAAATAAGCTGTATAAAGGTATTTAAGTAGGACATTTAAAATTGTTAAAACATTTATTTCAAATTAATTCTGTTCTTTTGAACTTTAAGATAATCCTGAAAACATATGACCTTTCCCACAAAAATATTAAGCAGCAGAAGTATTTTTTTAACACTTTGCCAGAATCAATGAGCACCAAATCGGCAAATCTGAATGATTTCTGAAGGATCATGTAATTATGCTAAAAAAAATCAGATTTCATCTTAATATATAGTACAGAAAACACTTATTTAAAATGGACAGACTTTCACAAATAAATGGCCTTGGTGAGCATATAAGATTTCTTCTAAAGACAATCAAGAAAAATATTACAGACCCCCAAAGTAGTGTAACTTTGCAGTTTTATGTAACTTGTAATGTAATTTTCAACTCAATTTTGTCATTAATTTAAATTTCATTCT